TTTTTTTTTTTCTCTTAACACTGAGGGCAATGTGAAGGTGGAAAAAAGGAGGGGAGGACCATTTAGACTTTAAAGATTTAAAAACACAAAACCAAATCTACAGTTTAAACCTTGACTGGATTCTGGCATTTTAAAGAAAGGTATAAAAGGTATTTTGGAGATAGCTGAGGAAATCTGAATATGGACTGAATACTACATAACATTAGGGCATTATGGCTATTTGTCTAAGGTGTGATAATGGTATTTTAGTTAGGCAAGGAATGTCATTATTTTTAGAAAACACATACTTAATTTTTTAGGAGTAAAGTGTTTTCAGCAAATATAATGAGCATGCACAGGGATTTAGACACACATAAACAATAAACATGGCAAAACATCAATTATCAAATCTACATAGTAGGTATATAGGAGATCACTGTACTCTTCTTTAATTGTAATATGTCCTCTTTTTGGACAAGATGTTGAAGCATATCTTTTTAAAGGCTTGACTGACCATATTACAAGGACCGTAAGAAAATAAATAACCCAAACCTAATATTAAACTGGTTTGAAGTAACCTCTGGGCCTAAATACTGTGCTGAATTCTCTGATTTGGACAGGATATTATGATTTCACTGTCTGACACAGTAAGAATGAAAAAGTCAGACAGCTATTGATAAACAGGTAAAATGACAGTGGGCAAGACAGAAAAGCTAGAGGTGCCAAAATAAAAATATTATAGAAAAAGTGATTTCTAACTTCAGAATAGATGAGTCCTTTCTGGGAATTAATTTATAAAGGGATGGAGGAAAGGCAGAATGTGGTATTCTAGAAGTCACCTCCAGTCAGAGGACAGAGGGAAGGAGGGAAAAAAAAGCAGAGAATGAGAAAAAACTTAAAAAGGTAACATCTCAGATCATCAGAGCACCAATCAAACAGAAAGTGGGAGTGAATTCCTAGAGCACTGACTCAAACATAACATAAACAGATCCTTTCTTCTATAATGGTAAAATAAAGATATCTCTGCCTACTTTTCATGTTGGTGAAGAAGAGAAATGGGGAAAAAAAGGAAAATGCATTGTTGGTAAGAGTAGGAAGTAGCTATAATTCTAATGTCTTATGAGAAAGGATGTGGGTGAGCAGCTGCCACTCATTTTCAAGAACAGCTGTCATGCACAATCTATTTAAAACATAAGGCACAGCCTCCAGGGTCAAATCACCATGTCCTTGTTTATAACACAATCCAGAAACGTAGGCTGGATGCACATGTGGTAAACTCACTGGAATCCCTGAATGGTAGATAAAGTAGAACTGAGCAAGGAAATGCAGAGACACCATTTTTTAATAAAGCAGCTCCCGAGTATAAAAAGCAGAAGAGGTCACAACTTTCTAACTCCCTAAGTTCTTGACTTGTATATCCACTGCCTCTGTGAACATACACTTAGATGATCAGTAAATACGTCAAAATTAGTTAAGTCCAAAGAAGACTCTTGATCAAGCTCCCAAAATTCCTGGTGTTTCTATCTCAGTAGATGTCTTTCTATCTTATTCACTTCTAGTTAAAACCTCAAGAGTTATCAATGATTCCTTTTTCTCTCATAACTGATATATGATCTATTAGCCAATCATGTCAGGAATTCCTTTACAATATCTTAACAATCTATCTGCCACTAGCTCAACTACCATTTTCTTACCTAAATTACTACAAAAGCCTCTGACTAATCTCCTACCTGTGGACTCCTATACTTTATTTTCTATACAGCCACTAAAATGTTAACTCTGATCTCCTCACTCCATTGACTAAAACCTCTTTATGGTCTCTCAAATCACTTAAAGTAATGGCCAAAATCTATGTTTGGCCCATCACCTAACGAAACCTACTCTTATTCTCTTTTGCTCACTCTGTCCAGCCCACAGCCCTGATAACTATTCTTGAACAGCAAGCCCCAGGGCTTTTAATACTGTCTGTCCCTTCTGGTTGAATGCTCTCCCATCAAATACTGTATGCTCCACTCTCACACACTTCTTTTTTTCCAATGTGATCCTCTTAATGAGTTCTTCCCCTGACCAACTTATTTAAATATAACCCCAACTGGCCCTCTCTATGCCAGTTTTCCTGACTTTATTTTTCTCCATAGCACTCACCTCACCATCTAACAGAATATATATTTTTACTTATTTACTCATAGTCTGTCTTCCCCAATTAGAATACAGGCCTCAGAATGGAAGAAGTTTTGAATGCTTTGATCACTGACTTCCTCAGTACCTGAAATGGTGCCTAATACATATTCAATATATACTTATTCAATGTATGAAAACACTGTTGGTAGAAATATAAATTGATTTTTTCCTTTGGAGAACATTGTGCCCATTTCCATCAAATCTATAAATAAATATAACTTTTACTCAGTATGTTCACTGAAGAGTAAATTATTATGTAGCGGTATCTGCATCTCTCTGCAAAGCAATATAAACAAGTATGGATGTACTTGTATCTTTAATAGCATAAGCCTGGGAACAACCTAAATGTCCATAGATTAGAAATAGGTTAAATAAATTATGTGTTGATAGAGAATCTCTCCCAGAAACAAAAAAATACAAAATATGAAACAACCCACAAGCTATGTGCACAACAGAATACATACCACTATTTATATGAGTAAGAAGAAAACAAGGACTTATGTATGTTCATATTTGCAGCAGACACATAATGTGCGCCGGTTTATTTATACAGACTACCTCAAGAAGGATACATGTGAAATTCTTAAAAGCAACTAGAACTGTTAGGGTCCAGGACTCCGGGGTTCCCCAGAGAACAAGCCACACCGACACGGAGATGTAAATCCAAGCAAAGTCTTTATTCAGCCAGCAAGCTGGGGCCGACAGCACCTCCCCTGACAGGCAGACCGAGTTCGAGCTGCCGACCCCCAGGCAACTTTGGGTATGGATTATATAGGGTTTTCACAGCAGTTGCACCGAAGCCCGCGCATTTCTACAACCAATAATTTCAAAACACATTCTATATTGTAACCAATGGAAAACATTGTAACCTTTTAGGGAGCGTGTCAGTTGCCTAACCGCTCCAGATGTTATCTCTTGCTTACAGTGGCTTATCACGGATTCCGTCCCCAGGCTGTTACCCACTTCTAGTTATCTAATTTAGGGCAGGCGCATTCTTTAACTTAGCCTCTGGTAGTTTATACAAAAACTGGGTGGCTCTTGCTCTAGGGTCAGGCTAAGGTTCATTAGTTCTTTTTCCTGACTCTTGATGCTCTCTGCACTCCTTTACAGTGTAGGAAGAGGTAAAAGGAGACTTTTTTACCATATGCCTTGGTGTTCAAAATTTTTACACGTTGATATATTATATGAAAGACAAAATAGACTAATACATTTATATAGACACACACACACAGCAGAAAGGCAGAAGTGATTTCAAAAGCAACAACTTCTGAGAGAGGTATGGGAGCATCCTGCTGATGTGTCATGTGGGAGGTGGATACAAAGATAACAGAAAGCATGATTACAGATATAAAATGTAATTCTGAGGCTTTAACCACTGAAAAAATGAGAGAATGTGTTAAATAATAAAATGAATTTAAATGTCAGACAATAGGTAAAGATTTAAGACCTGTAAGAGACAATGCATGAGAAAAGCAATCTACACACATTAGAGGATGTGAGCACGAAATTATCAACAGAAGGTAACAATCACACAGATGCAGTACAAATGAAGACTGAAGTACAAAGTACTGACATCCAGAATAGAGATTAGAGGGGAACCTGGCCCTTCTATAATGTGATTAAAGAAGCAGAGTACTAAAATATAAAAAAAATGATGACTCAAAATGTCATTCAGTTACCGAAATAATTCATACCAAGTAATACTCCTAGACTAGTGCTTGTAAAAAACACCCTTAAAAGCATTTTAGAGGCATCAAGGCTGACTTGAACAACTGCAAGACGCCAGGCTGTCACTCACTCACCTGGACAAATTTCCTTTTCACTTCTTTCTCCACCATCCAGTTTGTCTTCTTATTCCAACAGAGGCTCACATACAGCTTGGTCAGTTTATAACCTGCAATTGGGGAAATGACATCACTAGAATGTTAATGCTGGGGCCAAAGTGTCATTCTGTAACCCAGGCTGAGCCCTGGGGCTTCTGGCTTTCTGAAGGATGAAACTGCAGTTTCCTGGGACACACAAGGAAGCGACCCTGTGAAGAAGAACAAAGTAATGACCTTTTGCCCGGAGATTAAAGCACCCACAATTACATGAGCAAAGGAACTAAGAATATTTGAATTCTGAATTTCAAAGCCATACCCTCATTACGCCATTTTGGTCTCCACACATACAAAAATGGGAGGGTGGGGGAAGGAATTCACTTTCAGAATTTTAGTTACACAGGAAAACTGTTCATACCTTATATGCAGGATGACACCCCTGCATAGATTCCTGAGATTTTAACTATGCCCCTTATTCCCATATGAAATATCTGTGACTACAGCAACATATGCCTATCAGAACTAAGCCACAAGGATACAATGCATAGGAAGTTGTTCTGACAGTATTCAGGAAAACTCAAGAAGTTTTCCTGGAGTCCTAATACTTACTTTGCTTATATTATACTCTGAACGAAAACTATGTATTAGAAACGTCCTGTAAACATATGTCCATCCATTCATTAAAAAAAATTTCAAGGACATTATTGGGACAACTGACAAAATTTGAATATGGGCTTTGGATCAAATAATAGTACTGACGTTAAAATTTTTCTGACTTTGATTACTGTACTGTGGTTATAAAAAAAAAGTCTTTGTTCTTAGAAAATTCATGCTGAAGTATTTACAGATAAAAGGAGTATGTGTGCAACTTAGTCTCAAAAGGTTCAGAAAAAAAATTACTCACATATCTGGAGAATGAGAAAAGGAAAAATAAAGCAAAAAAAAAACCCCCACCAGAATGAAAATGATTGGTAAATTTGGGTTAAAAGAATATAAGGAACTTGGGTGAATGTAGTAACCACATTGTTTTAAATGTGAAACCTTCATAAGAGTGTTTATCAATAACACCTTAATAAAAAAAATTGTAATAAAAAAAGAATATAAGGAACCTCTGTGTATTATCCCAACTTCTCTATAAAGCTGAAATCATAAAAAATGTAAAATCCTAAACATGTTACTTCCAACACACATACAATGTATATTGTGTGTACTGACAAAACTTAGTCACCAGTTTGCATTGGGATGTGGAAGACATGGAATGCCTAGAGAATAATTTAAACATGAGAGAAACATGAGGGGTGAGTTGGCTGGAGAAAACCTTCAGGAGAAAGGAGATCAAGTTTGATACTCCAGGGATTGAGAGTGTCAGGTTTCTGGGGAACATGGAGGCAGAATCTGTAGGCAACTACACATACACATGAGGAATTCAGAACAGGCCTTGAATGGAAATAGGAATTTGTCAGTTGTCAGAATATCACTGCTGCCGAACACATAGGTGGAATATAAGTATGTAAGTCACAGTAACTATGACTGCTTATAGAGAATATACACAGTATGTGAAGATGGTCAAGGCCAGAATCCTAGGAATACCAACAGTCAAGGAGTCAGGAAAGGTTTCAAAGGAGCTCGGTGGCTTAGTTTTGACTCTTTCTAGTACTTCTGAAAACCATACAAAACATCAAGAATAATGGCCGAAGAGAAGGAACAACAGGCAGCCAATCCATACACTACATCTTTAGTGAAACTAATATAGAGAATATATGTTCACTCTAAATTACAGCTAAGTGTAGCCCAAACACCCCAAACTGCAGAAGTGGTGCAGGCACTGCAACAGTGTGGTAGGTGTAACAGTTAAGACTAGATAACGGTGAGACGTCTTTGAGGTAATAGATCTCAGAACATATTCATTCTCAGAATGAGGGATTCACACTGAGAGAGAACAGTTAAAACTGAGTCTAATAAAAAAACAAACTCCATGTAACTCTACCAAATGCAGACCCAAACAGGGAGCCAAAACAAGAAGTCGCAACGAAGCCTAGGAATAACTGGCCATGCTGATGGGGTTTCCAAGGACTTAAAGAGTTCAGAAACCTGCAGTTAATATTTCTTTACAGCACGAGGAGGCCTCACCCTAGAGGGAACTGATGAAAGACCTAGATTAAATAGAAAAGGACTGTAGGTCGAAGCAGAAAAGTAGGCTTAAAAAGTACTAGGGAGCCAACAGGCACATGAAAAGATGCTCCATATCCCTAATCATCAGAGAAAGGTAAATTAAAACCACAATAAGACATCACCTCATACCAGTAAAGATCACCAACATCCAAAAGAGAAACAACAACATATGTTGGCGAGGATGTGGAGAAAGCGGCACCCTTCTACACTGCTGGTGGGAATGTAAAATAGTTCTTATGGAAAGTAGTATGGAGGTTCCTCAAAAAACTAAAAATAGAAATACAATTTGACCCAGGAATTCCACTCCTAGGAATTTACCCTAAGAATGCAGCAGCCCAATTTCAAAGACATATGCACCCCTATGTTTATCGCAGCACTATTTACAATAGCCAAGAATTGGAAGCAGCCTAAGTGTCCATCAGTAGATGAATGGATAAAGAAGATGTGGCACATATACACAATGGAATATTATTCAGCCATAAGAAGAAAACAAACCCTACCATTTGCAACAACATAGATGGAGCTAGAGGGTATTATGTTCAGTGAAAAAAGTCAGGCAGAGAAAGACAAGTATCAAATGATTTCACTCACCTGTGGAGTATAAGAACAAAGAAAAAACTGAAGGAACAAAACAGCAACAGACTCATAGAACCCAAGAATAGGCTAACAGTTACCAAAGGGAAAGGGATGGGGGAGGATGGGTGGGAAGGGGGGGATAAGGGGGAAAAAGGGGCATTATGATTAGCATGTATAATGTTGGGGGGATGTGGAGAAAGGGGAACCCTCCTACACTGCTGGTGGGAATGTAAAATAGTTCTTATGGAAAGTAGTATGGAGGTTCCTCAACACAGGGAAGGCAGCATAACACAGAGAAGACAAGTAGTGATACTATAGCATCTTACTAAGCTGATGGACAGTGACTGTAATGGGGTTTGTGGTGGGGACTTGATAATAGGGGGAGTCTGGTAACCAATATGTTGTTTATGTAACTATACATTAATGATAGCAAAATAAAAATAATAAATATAAATATAAATAAATAAAAAGTACTTGGGAGTGAGGTGTCCTCAGATTTAGCAATTTCTAGAAGCATGCATCATCCTGGAAGGCAAGTACTGTGCAGAATTATGGAAAACAGAAAGATGGAGATAAATGTCAGCCTCACCCAGGTTAGGATCATCAAGCCAGAAGTGGGGAAGTCCCTTGCTTTAAGTACTGGAAAAGGCACAAGAGCTTGGAAGCACAGAATGCTACTGTGCCTGCTTTTTCCTGGTACTTGTCTAGGAAAACCTATCTCATACAAACACTAAGTAACAAAGTAATATTTTTGTGTGTCCATACAAGGATACTATAAGAAAAATAGTGAAAAACAACAGGTAATTTTCCAAAAGTTAAGTAAATTCACCTTTAAATTACCGCTAAAGCAGATAAAAAAATGAAAAAATGTAACAAAATGAATTTAAAAAAAACACAAGAACTTCAAGAAGCAAAGCTATGAAAAAACACAAAAGTAAACAAAAGAACTGTGCAAAGAAAGGGTCACTCAAAAAGAAGGAATGGAAAGAAAACAATAGGAATGGACATCTTACCAGGCATCTTGTTTTTGTTCTGTTTTTTAAAAGACTGAAGTATCAGAATTTGCAGGGATTTTTGTTTTCCTTGATTAACATGATCTTTCTCAGCTGTTGCACCTGAGCAACAACAGTGAACTCAGCCTGAAACTTTGTACTCAAATCCCAAGAAACCTCTAAGTGCATGGATAATCTGTATGTAGGTAATCATTATCTTTATCTGACCACAAAAGCCAGCATCATATCTAATGCAAAGCATCAGAGGCATTTCTATTAAATTCTAAATAAAAATAAGGATATCCACTGCCTTAATTATTAAATATAATTATAAGCAATTCAGTTAAGCAGGAAATAAAATTTATAGAAATCATATATACAATGACTCCATTTCTAATAGTAACAGAAAAGTAACATACCTAGAAATTAACTTAGCAAGAAGTATATAAAACTTTAATGAAGAAAATTTTAACACTCCAGAGGACCCTAAAGGAAACTGGAACATATAAAATCATAAAGATCTAATGTCCCTTTCTCCTAAGTTATTTTGTAAATGTAATAAAATACTAATAAAAATAATTTTTTTCCCTAGAACTGCGCAAGCTGACTCTAAAGTTTGTGTTGAAAATAAAAAGCAAGAACAGCTAGGAAACTGGGAAAAGGACAAACAGTAAGAGGAGACTAGCTTTATCAGATACTAAACGTAATTACAAAGCCTCAATAATAAAAAGAGAAGTACTGGCACACAAATACAGACTAGAAGATGGATGAGACTATAAAGACCAAAATAGACCAAATACATATGAGAATTGAGTTTACAATCCAATCTTAAAATAGTAAAGTCAAAATGTTTTAATAAATGGTGCTGGAAGAACTGGAGTAGCCAATTGTAAAAAGATAAACCTGGATGCACACCTAATTATCATATACCAGAATAAACTCTAAATGGATTATAAATATGAAACCCTATAAAAAACATAACCTTGTAAGAATTTGAAAGTAGAGGTGAAACCTGGAGTGGTTAAGTGTGACTGTAACCACATATGAAGACTGATAAACCTAGCTACATAAAAATAAAAACCTCCTGACTCTGCATCTTTTTAAAAAAGATGACTGTAAAGAACATCAAAACACAATTTAAAACTTGAAAAAGAATCCCAAATCATTTCACATAGGGCTAACCTTTCTAACGTAACATTAACAGCTCCAAAAAGAAAAAGGAAGCCATAGAAAAATGGGGAAAAGGATATGGCCATTAGACACATGGAAGATACTCAACCACAATTCATAATAAAGTATATAAATTAAACTTAGAGATACCAATTTTCACTCATGCCTTTGGCAAAAGATCAAATCTTCAACACTGAACTCTGATGGCAAAGTTCTAGGAGAAAAGGTGCTCTTGTACATTGCTAGTAAGTACCTAGCTATATGGGCAATTGCACTTGTAGCAATCCACTTTAGAGATACTCCTGCTTAAGTACAAAATGACAGATAAAAACAATTATTACTGCAGTTAGTAATAGCAAAAGATTGGAAACAAGCCAAATATCAAACAACAAAATGTATAATTGACTCAACTATGGTACATGCACACAATGGCATCTTATTTACACTGTTGTTAAAAAGGAAAAAACATCGAATAATTAGAAAGGAGATCTCCAGGACATACTCTTAAGTGAAGGAAGTGAGAAACAGATTTATATAGTATACTACCTTTTATGTAAAGAGGGTGGGGGATAGGAGAGAATAAATATAGTGACCCATAATATACTTAACTGGGACAAGAAGACTGCAAGGGGTAGGGGGGAGCAGAGACAAGGTATCTATGAGATACATTTTTTTGTTAAATCATAGAAATGCATTACTTTTTAAATAATCACTCATTTTTTTTAAAGTCCCTGAACTTGAAAACAAATTGAAACATACATACCCAAGTGTACATTAACTTGATAATGTTTTCTTCAAAGAAAGGATTTCAAATGACTTTGGAACAGACAACTCTGACTACACATGCTTTAGTGGGATGCATTCCAGGGACAAAAACAGCTACAAAGAAATTTTTCAGTATGTTTCTCCTGATGTTATGCAATTTGACAATCACCTCCGATGCATTTTGGCCAAAATTAAGTCAAAATTGGGCTTTTGCAAAAATGTCTTCAAGAGGTTCTCAATTAGATCCATGAAAAAGTAACATGATACAGTGTGTTTATGGTTACTACAAGTATCAGTATTGTTATTTTGAAAACATTTTCTTAATACTACAATATAAAACAAAGAAAATAAGTACTTCTGTTAAACATGTTTCAAAATTTTTACTGTCAAATACAATTAGGAGCTAATTATTAGGTAAACCTACTGTTATCATTTAAACTGAATTAGAAAAACTAACATGAAGTTATGTTTTTAAAAAATAGATTTTCTAGCTTGGTCACTAAAATGGCCTTGAAACAGTGTTACCTCTTAAGCAAGGAGAACATCCAGCACCCAGATCTTGGTCTCTAATACCATTCTCCAATAAAGGAACCAGAGCTCCTTGGAGAAATGGCCAATTCTAAGTCTGGGAGGGAAGGTAAAAGGTGGGTGGGCCTGCAGTGCAAGAAAGCTTTCAAAGTTAAATGGTAGCAAGTTAAACTGAGACAGAGGAGTCAGCTTGAAGGAGAGTTCACCAGCTAATACTGTTCTAATATAGAATAGATAATACAACTACAGTAGTTACAGTTATTAGAACACAACTTAAAAATGATGCTTCGAGAAGCAAAAACCAGGAAAATTTAAGGTAGCAATCAACTAAATGTAAAAGGAATGAAAAACTAGAAAATCACTTTGCAATCCCTGAAGAAATTACTGATTCACCAAAGATTATTTATTTAGGTTAAAACTATCCATTAAATAATTGATGGGGAGACTTTTGTATGTACCAAAATAAAACCATTACTACAGTTTATAAATAAAACCAGATTACTGTTAGGTCATAAAGGGGAAAAAACCAATCACTAATGATGGATCAGTCATTATAGTATGTCTCTCCTCATGTTGTACAATTTGAAGATATCTCTGATGCGTTCTGAACAAAAATAAGTCACAATTGGAATTTTGTAAAAATATAATCAGAGTTTATGAATTAGAACCATGATAAAGTAACCATTATACAAATCAAATCTCATGAAGGAGGTAATGACAAGTTTCTAAAGATGAATGTAACCTGAACACAGAAATCTAACTTCCTCATGCGTTATAAAAGTAAATGTAAAAAAAAAAGTTTATAAACATGAAAGAGCATCTACATATCTGAATTGTTCAAAAATTTCTACCACAACAGTACAAATGGCTGTACTATTTTCTGAGAAGGTATTATTTTACAGATAGTAATAATGCTATTATTTAATATTTACCTGGTACTTTCTACATACCAGGCACTATTCTTTAGAATTTAAAATTCACTTATCTGCACAACCACCCTGTGGATCAGATACTGTTATTTTCTCTACATTACTAGAGGAGAAATAAGGTACAAGTTGAAATACCTGAAGGTCCCTGAGGCTGAAATTGGCAGGAGTTAACAGAGGCAGCCTGGTTCCATGGCCTACAATCTTTAAAAAAAAAAAAAAAAAAAAACCCTAAACTCATATAGTTATAAAACAAAAAGATATTTGCCTTACCACATCTATTCTAGTACCACTACCCTCTACAAAGACAACCACTTTTTTTAGTTTCTTGCATATCTTTCTTTATTTTTTAAATAGAAAATACATATTTTTCCCCTTTCTTACTCCAAATCAAGCATACCATGCATGGTATACCTTGCTTTTTTCGCTTAACAATACATTTTTGGAGGTTTTTCAGCGTCAGTATATAGAAAGCTTCCTCCTCATTCTTTTGTACAGCGGCATATTACTCTGTCATGTTGATAATACCATCATTTTTTCGAACCTATCTCCTACTAATAGGCACCAACTGTTCCTATGAGCAACCCTGTACATCATACAATTTCAAGCAAAATACAGGTGCATGTGTAGGATTAATTTCCAGATGTGAAATAGCTGGGTTAAAAAGAAAATACATCTGTAGTTAGATATTGCCCAACTTTTCTTCATAGGCCTATTTTGTGTTGGCAGTAACACTTTTAATTTCTGAGAACTTATTTTTAAAAATTTTATCATTGAGCTCCTACCTCCCCACACTCCAAATGCTTTCTTTTTCAGCTTTACTGGTTATTCTAGTTTGTCTACTTGTCCATATATAGTGCAAAATAAGCTTATCTAATTCCAAAAGAAAAAAACTGGACTTTTTATTGGACCACAATTAATCAATTGAATTAAGTTTGCACACACTTTTTTATGTTTTCCTACTGAAAAACCTGGCTTATCTATTTGTTCACATTATGACCTTCAGCACTTTTTAAAAGTTCTTAAGTTTATTTCTTAAGTTTATTCCTCAATATTTTTTATTGCTATTTTAAGTAGTGGTTTTATATTATGTCTTCTCCCCGGCTGTTTATGTATTTGAAGGCTATTGATTTGTAGATATTAACTTGTTACCCCATTATTTAACTCACTTATCATTTAAAACGATGGGAAGAATGACTGTGGATGGATTCCTTAAAAAAGGGATTTTTGCAGATAGAAGCAATTTTTTCATTATTGCACAAAATCCATACAAACTGGGTTTCATTTAAGATTAGGACACCTGGAATGTAGTCCAAACTCATGGGTAAGCATTCCAGCAACGAAATTTTCTTCAAATGAGATTAACTGTGCCTCCCGTAGAACCCCAAACCCTTGACTCCCTAATCGTGGGCTTTCTACGCTATACGACACTGCTTTTCAAAGTATAACACTTATCTTTAGCCGAGGCCTTAAAAGCAGTCCTTTTAAAACACCTCCAAAGATTTGAGATCGTCTGAAGCAGGCTCCCCCTAACAAAAAGCTCCTTTGAAATACTCTTACTTGTTTAAAAAAAAAGGAAGAAAAAACGGTGATTTGCATTCTGCTCCAATTAAGAAGAAATGTGTTTTTATATAAAAAGCCAGTTTTAAATTATTTACCACTTAGCTTTTTTCCCCCTTCTAATCTTCAAGTTAAACGGACAATCCAGGAAGATGGCACGTCTTTATCAGCACTTTCGACAAGGGAAGTGCGGCTCAGAAGTTATCTCAGTGCTGGTCTCCTACATCTGCCGCACAGACGCAGCCGTACACAATTCGGCACCCACACAGTTTCTCACTCGATAATCCCGAACATCCGGTCAGACTTCTCGGGTCACACGAGCTCGAACCCTCCTTAGAGGCTCCCACCCCCACTCTACACGTAGGCCAGACGGTCTTAAACCCACTTTCCGCCCCCGCGCCGCACCCCAACAGATCCGGAATCCTCCCCTTCAACCTCCCCGACCCCACCGGCCCAAGACGCCCACATCCCACCTCCTACTTTTGCGCCACGTGGACCCAGGGGCCGGATCGACCCGCGGACAAAGACCAAAATGTCCACTCGGTGCGCTGCGCCTGCGCATTCAGAGAGTGAGTGAGCACTCCCATAAGTCTTCGCGACGCGGCCCGCACGGTCACTGCGACCAGGCCCAGGGTGGTATCTGATTACCTTCTGTCAGCAGCAACGCCGCTTTTCCGGCCTTGGACTACACTTCCCTTAAGGCTTTGCTGGTCGATACAGTCTCTGTCTCTGTTTCTCCCGCACGAACTTGGCTGCCTCTTCCTGTGATTATGGGGCTCTCGGGGTGAGTAGTCCTGCCTTGGGGGAAGATCAGCTCAAGCCTAGTGGGAGGTTTGGAGCGTGTGCTCCGTCTTGGAAGCCTCCCGGGCGTATGGTCAAACGGGCCAAACCTAGGCTTTGAGGCTCGAGGACGCCATCTTGTCTGTGGTTTGTCTGGCTTTGGACTACGTCTCCCAGAGTCCCCAGCGGCCCGACGTCTGCTTTGACGTCGTGGCGAGATCTTTAGCTCCGCAGGGACCCGGACGCGACCAAGGGGAGGCAGAAGGTGAGGCGTCTGGGAGTCCGGGGCGGGGACGAGTGCGTGTCCAGAGTCTCTGGTCTGTGCGCTCAGGCAGCAGTGGGCTGAGGATGCCACATTCTGAATGAGTCTTTGTGGCTGTGACCAGGTGTGGGTGCCTGTGTGTGTGTGTGTGTGTGTGTGTGTGTGTGTGTGTGTACGTACGTGTACGGGTTGTGACTGCTTATCTCCAGGGGGTAAGTCTTGTGTTTGTGTAACCAACCATGTGTGATACTGTGTGTTGGCGTGTGGGGTCCTTGTGACTGTGGAGGTGATCACTGCTTGTAGCCTTGTGTATGTGGCTGTACTTCTTGTTCTTGGGTGTGAGTGTAGTTGTGACCACGACGGGTATGGACGTCTGTGCGGTTATGATTACATGGCTCTAAGGAGTGTGTTTGGTTTTGTTTGCATTATATTGTGGCCATATATGGTATTGTGTGCAGTTGTGTGTCTTGGTGTGGTGACACTGTGTGTATATCCCTGTTGTCTTCCTTAGGGTGTGTCTGTGAAATGTTTGCTGTGTGTGCAACTGTGAGGTGTCTGCGTATGTGTGTGTTTCCAGAGTTACGTTCAGTTATGACTGGTTAGCACTGAGTGGGCCAGAGTAGAGTGCCAATGATTGTATGGGTTCTCCAAGTGGGTGTGTTATTGTGTATATATGGGGCATTTATGGGTATTGGGGTAGGAAGTCTGGGACTATGTGAGAGTGACTTTGTGTGTCATGGTGGGGGATCGTGTGACTGTGTCTTCTTCGTGGGTGTGAGATTGTGATTGTGTATGAGAGTGTGGAGGTGTCTGTGTGGTTGTGTCCTTGTGTATCTGAAGAGTGGATGTGTGGTTGTGTTCATATGACACTGGCCATTCATTCAGTGCCCATTGTGCATGCCTGTGGCTCCAGTGCTCAGACCCTGTAAAAATCTGTGAAGTTAGGCTAGATTGTGGCCCTGGGAAGTGCTAACCTCAGCCTTTCCTGTGACACTGGGATTGGACATCATGTCCAGTCTTCTCTGACCTCCCTCCAACTGTGTTAAGAGGGTAGGGGACGACTTTTGAAGAATGTCCTCATGACTCATGATTCCTTTTTCTGAACTCTTCTCCAAGAAAGACCTTGAGAAAAGGGAAGAATTGCTGTTGAACATCCAAAGCCAAGTTCAAGGTGCACTAAGTTTTCTTCTTTCCCTAAAACCCTTCTGGTTTTTCTTGACATGTTATTTTTGCCTTCTTCTGAAACTTCCTGCATGAGACTCCACTCCTGCCAAAGTGACCTGGTCTCCTGTATTTGCCATTGGAGTAAGTTACTGAGAGCCTTGGAGGTGAACTGAAAGGCCCATATCCACCCTGTTCCTTGCACACCTAATGTTCATTTAAAAAAAAATTTTTAACTTTCATTTTAAATTAGTTGCAGGCTTAAAAGTGTTACAAAAATTGAATTTCCAGACAGTCTTAACCCAACTTCTCCATATTACCGTCTTACATAATCACCTTACATAATCAAAACCAGAAGATTAACATTGATACACTACTACTAATCTACAGACCTTACTCAAATTTCACTTGTGCCCTTTTTCTGAACAAGGATCCAATCCAGAATCATATGCTGCAGTTAGATGATAAGTCTTTTCTGTCTTCTTTATCTGGCACAGTTTCTCAGTCTTTCTTTGCCTTTCATGACCTTGATGCTTTTGAAGAGAACTGGCAGTCTAATTTGCAGATTCTGCAGCACTGACTGTTCCTCAATTTGAGGTTGTCTTAAGCTTCCTCATGATTAAATTCAGAGTATGTATTTGGGGCAAGAATACCCCAAAAGTGATGTGTTCTTCTCTGTGCATCATATCAGGAGCCCATGAGTTTGATTTATTTCATAATTAGTGGTGTTAACTTTAATCAGTTGGTTAATATAGTGTCTGACAGATTTCTCCACTGCAAAGTCATTGTTTTTCTTATAATTAATATGTTTTGTGGAGAAATACTTTAAGCCTATGTAAATACCCAGTTTCTCATCCCACTTAACATCCATTGATGATAATTCTTGCCTAAAAATGTTACTACTGGCTATTTGCAAATGGTGATTTTTTGTTTCCATCCTTCCTTCTACATTTATTAATTAGAATCCTAGTGTAGAGTTTCCTTCTCCCCTACTTATTTACTAAATTATTTATACAAATAGAGGCTCTTTTTTTATTCTATAGGTTGTAATCCATTACTACCATTTTGTTGCTCAAATTGTCCCAGATTGGGCCCTTGGAAGCCCCTTCAAGTTGATTCCTGTCTTTTCATTGTGTCCCTTTTATTTATTCTTTAAATACTTCCTTATTTTCTGGCACCACAAGATGTTCCAGGCTGATTTTGTACTTTTTCAGCCCCAGACCTGGAACCACCAAATTTCCAAGGGAGCACTGGCTCCATTTATTAGAAAATGGTATTTAGAAACCAAGATTAGATATGCTCATTGCTACTGGGATGTCCTTGCTTTCAGTCCCTCTCAACTATGACATCTGTGTTTCAATAAACACACATCTGTATCTATTTGTATGTATACCTATACAGACAATCCATGATTTTGTATGATATCTCCAATTCCAATTCAACACCACAGGGTTTATTCTAGCCTTCTTCATTTACTTTTTGTTTTTTCTATTTACTTTTTTATAACTCCTTTCTCTGACAGTGATAAACGACTCACATTAACCATGGTGTATATCTGTATATCTCTATATATATAGATATATAGATATATATATTTTTTTTTTTTTTTTGCTCTGTCCTGAGTAGAAAGTAGTTTAAGAATTGCTAACCCATACTACCATATCCTCACACAATTCTTTTTTGTCTTTAGTCATACAGTATACAGTGAAAGTAGTTTTCCCTACAACCTTTGAATGGTAATGTTAAGTCACTTGTAATGCAGGTAGGTTCATTTGTTACTGTTTGGATTTTACTTTGGATTCCCACACACACACATCCTGGTTGATTTTAATTATTTTTTGAGTATATGAAACATACCATGAGTCTAACAGAATTAGACAAAAAGATCTACTCAATCATTCCTTCACCATTCCTTCTCTCTCAGTCCTGTTCCCTGATTCTTTCCACACTATTCCCACTCACCCATTGTAAGAAACTAATCTCTTTATTTTGTTGGGTTTTCTTATATTTAAATATACATAAAAGTTAAATGCACATAGAGTTTACCATGTTAGCTGTTTTTAAGTGTACCATTCAGTAGCATTAAGTACATTTACATTGTTGTGTAGCCATCACCACCATACATCTTTTTTTCTTCCAAAACTGAAACTGTATCCATCAAATGACTCTCCATTCCCCTTTCTCTGCACTCCCCAGAAACTGTTATTCTGCTTTCTGTCTCTTTAAAAATTTAAGTGGAAGTATACAGTATCTATCCTTTTGTGTCTGGCTTATTTCACTTAGCATAATGCCTTCAGGAATTATCCACGTAGCATATGTCAGCATTTCCTTTCTTTTAAGACTGAGTGATAACCCACTGTACACATATATACCACATTTTGTTTATCCATTTATCCATCAATGGATGCTTGGGTTGCTTACACCTTTTGACTGTTGTGAATAGTGCTGTGAACATAGGTTTACAAATACCTTCAAGTTCCTCCTTTCACTTCTTTTGGGTATATACCCAGAAGTGGAATTGCTAGATCACATGGTAATTTTGTGTTTAATTTTTTGGAGGAATGCCCGTACCATTTTCCACAGCTGCACTGTTTTACGTCCCCACCAGCAAAATGCACAAGGTTTCCAGTTTTTCTGCACATTCTTATTAACACTTTTTTCTTTTTAATAGCCATCCTAATGTGTCTGAAGTGGTATCTCATTGTTGTTTTGATTTGCATTTCCCTAGTGATTAGCAATGTTAGGGATCTTTTCTTATTTTTGCCGGCCATTTGTATATCTTTGGAAAAATGCATGCCCCTTGCCCATTTTTTATTCAGGTTGTTTGTTTTTGTTGTTATGTAATAATTCTTTTTATGTTTTAACTACCAATCCCTTGTCAGATATATGATTTACAAATATTTCTTCCCATTACAAGGATTGTCTTTTTATTCTGTCGATAGAGTCCTTTTGTTGCTTTGTCATATCCAAGAAGTCATTATTAAATCCAGTGTTGTAAAGATCTTTCCTTGTGTTTTCTTCTAAAAGCTTTAGAGTTTTAGCTCATATTGGGAACTTTGATCCATCTTGAGTTAATTTTTATATATGGTATTAGGTAAGGGTCTAACTTCATTTTACATGTAGACATCCAGTTTTTCCAATACCTTTTGTTGAAAAGACTGTCCTTTCCCCCCATTGAATGGTCTTGGTACCCTTGCTGAAAATCA